TTTTAAATAATTAAAAAAGTAGATCAGAGATATATTTATAGTAATTATGCAGACAAATTTGCCTGCAAATCTCTACCAATTAAGGGATATGGATTTCGTACCCAACTTTAGAATTTACTAACCACAATTAGATTTATCAATCTCTGTCTTAAGACTAACTAACTATATATAGCTAATCTATCCTCAAGGTAAATCTAACAGAGTGGTACATATCTCACACATGTATTTACCTGCATATTCCTATAACTTCTTTCTAGTTAGTACATATTGACCTGCTATTCCATATTTGTATCTCACACTATCTTTTGAGGTGCTGCCATTCTACAGACATTTCTCAAGCACCAACCTTCCTAACTAGGTGCCCATTATATACTTCTTGCCCTTATTTGGTTCACAACAACCCCAATACCTCCATTCAGACTGTCTTCTTAGTCAGATTCTTTATCGGCTCCTTCCTTACTTCTAGCTGGCAACTCGGAAGGGTTGGTCTGCTCAGGCTTTAGATATCTAAAGAACACCCTTCTCTTGGTCCATACTTTTGAAGCATATGTTCTTTTCTTCTGATATGACAACCCGGTAGTTTAGCTAGTGTCCTTCACTATAGGACCTAGTTGTTTGGTTCTCCGATATCGAGCCCGGTTCGAATTCAGCTCTCCTGTGATACTGTCAAAGATCACTGCTACCTCCAGATTTGGGTCTTCCCAAATAGGTTTTCGGTTATACCGGTTTCTTGGGTTTATTGTGCCAAAGTTTCCATTACTAGATAATATAACTGAAGTTATAGATTATAATTCTAGATCTAACTGACAAGCATAGCCATTAACCAAACACAGGCCTATTTTCCAAATATCGTTGCTAGTGAGATTTGAACTCTAGGCTTGCCACTTGGAGAGAGTAATGACTAGACTACTACATTAAGTTACCACACTTTATTATTTTGTTCTTTTAATAAGGTATGGCTTAGTATAGATTATATAAAAGCTTCTTTTGTTTTAAAAAAAAATTTTAAACTATGCAATACATTTAACTATATTCTGTATATAATCTGGAATCACACGTATTAACAAGAATTTTATATTTTAAAATTTTGTATTGTATTTGTCTAGAGTTTTTTCACATCAAATAAGAATTATACATATACTTCTATGAAAAATGAAATGCTTTATTAATCCATATTTTTTCTTAACTTCTTCTGACAAGTAGGAACTTAGTTCCTTCATTGAAACTTATAATGAACACAAACCCATATTTTTTAAACAAAACTGTTTTTACCATTACAAAGAGAGTTTGCAAAACATTTGCAATACCCCAAAATTTAATAGCAATGATAAAGATATAGTGAGAAGTTTACTCAAAAGTTTTAACAAGGACAAAGATAAATATGTTGAGTTAATAAAAAATTATCAAAGCTCTATTAAAGCAAATATCCAGGATAGTGTAAGTATCTTGCACTATTCTAACAAATTATTATCAATATATATAACTTACAAATATTTTAAATTATATATAACTATTAAAAGTAATGATAAGAGTTGTTATGAAGAATCTAATACAATTTTCGAAACAAAAATGTCTCTTGGATAGTTAATTGCATTGATATCTATATACTTATAAAATATAAGGCAGCAGATATAACAAGAACTCGACCTAAATATTACGATGTAATATTTTTTGATAATAAAAATAAAAGATTTACTAAACAATAACATCATTATGCAAATGCATAAGAATATAAAGGATGGAATAATTAAAGAAAGTTTCGAGAATGAAATAAAATCATTTATTAATAACATTGTCAATCAAGATATTAAAAAAACAAAAAAAACTTAAAATTAAAAAAAATGCAATATATTCAAAAAAAAATTTGCATTATTTTTCATAATTTATATATAAGTTTATACTTTCTTTGTATTATGGGTTATTGAACTATTTACTTGTATTATACAAATAAATCATTAGGTATCTCTCTTTGTATATATTTCATCAAAAGTGCAATAAGCTAAGTAGCATATGATAATATAGGATTGACTTTATAGAAGATGTAAATATACTTCTCAAGAATATGTCAGAAGAGACATTCATTGTAGATATTTGGGCTCTATACTTCGCAAACTGTTTCTAAAAAATAAAAAGGATTAGTACTTGAAGTATGGGGAGACTTGTTTAAAAGCAAGCGAAAACTTCCAAAAAATGGATGATGAGCATCGATCTCCTGGTGAAAAAATAGATACAATTTTAGCACTGAAAGATAGCAATAAAGAATTTTCAGTTATAGAAGTAACTGGTCCTCCTTCTAAAAATGACTGGTCACATTTTATAGAAGATCAATTAAAAATTTCAAAATCATTAAAAACATTGATAAATAAGCTTGTAAGATATACCCCAAGCTTCAACATTCAAAATATGAGCTTGTATGGAACACAAGTATACCATAAGTTTATCTTTTTAGCCAATATATATTATCAAACCAAATATCTCTATCTATACTACCTATAGTAATATATCTATCCAGAGATGAAAATAATTTTTTTATTTTTGTTTTTTGTTTTAAACATTTGATTTGATAATTATATATTACGATAATTATTTAATGATTGCATAGTCTTTGTAAAATATAAGAGTTATTTTATATATAAACCTAAAAAATATTATTATTGCTAAAGCTAAAATTATTTTGACAGATATTGTAGTT